ATCAAATTAACTTATACATGGTCTGTCAAAAGCTTCGGAGTGTAGGCATTAGGTTGTATGAATGATTTCATAAGGTCTTTTTTGGTAAAAGAAAGGAATCGTATCTGAAAATCTCAGGGAAAATCCTTCTTGCTTAAGCTACATTAAGGAATTAACATACTTACCTATATGCATACTTGGGATGTTCTTGTGTTTGTGCTGAAGGACTTCTGGTTTTCTCTGTAAGCAGTTAGTGTATATTGGATCCTTTTATGTTTGATCACATGGGTATCTAGGGTTTTCTATAGCAACTTTTTTTTTAGTTGTAACCAAATTAAATCAATCTTGTCTAGATTATATAACACTGATATTCTTGAAGTCCTTGGGAATGAAAATTTCAAAAAAAGAATTTGAGTGATTTAATTTTCATAAAATATTGATTTGTGTTACTGTGATAGTTCATTAACTAGATGTTATAGAGATATTTTATAACAGGCTGATATTCTATGCATGTAAAGAAATTTGCACCTATTTCTTGAATCCTTAACCTTTAGAATCCAGATAGTGCCTTCTTTTCACAGAAACTGCTCAATAAACCTTAGCTAAATGGAATAAAATAAGTGGAATAAAGTGATCAGCAATGGAGTTGTTTATTTTAGTAATTTACGATAGCATGGCACAAGGAATTAAACTTGTGTTTTTTATTTTCTTATTAAAAAACTTTCTTTTAGAGACAGGGTCTTATTCTGTCATGCAGGCTGGAGTGTAGTGGCATAATCACATCACACTGCATTCTCAGACTTCTGGGTTCAAGTGATCCTTCCACCTTAGCCTCCTAGTGTGGAGGACTATAGGCATGAGGCGCCATGCCAGCCAAATTTTTACTTTCGATGAAAATTGAGAATGTTGTCTCAAGATTTTCTTTTACTGGTGTTTTGTCATTTTAGTAATACATTTCTAATACTGTTAAATGACCAAGACAAATTCTAGAAGCTTCTTGATAACAAAGTTTTCATCTTCCCATATAGCCCCTTTTGGGCAAGGGGGAAGCTATACTAGCTTTGAGATTTTTGTTTCATTCAAATTTGTGTTTAAATTTTTCCAATTTCCAATTTTTGAAGAAAATGACTTGTTATGGGGCTATAAATTCTTAATTAAAAAATATACAGCAGTTTATACTATTAGTGCTCCCTTGTTGGCCTTACTTTTGCCTATACCATCTTTAATATTCAGAGGAAGTAGTTTGTGTTTTTTTTTTTTTTTTTTGAAGTAAAGAAAGTTTTAAAAAAATTAAGTGACTGTGATATCTGTGGCAAGAAGGAGGCCAGAAGGAAATGGAGTATATTGTTTTAATAAAGAATCAAAATGAACAGGTCACATACCCTGGTGTTTGTTCATTTTACTTTTGCAAGAGTAGTGGTCATGTCAGAATTATTTTGAAACGGTTGGTTCAGTAATTTGGCCTACTGTCTTTTTTTCTCTATAACAGTTTTTCTGTTTTCTACTACACCTTGCACATCCACCAATCCAAGACACCCTATAGGTGAGTATTTTTCTAGTTTTCAAATGGCATCAGTTGTTCCCAAGACAGTTACCACTTTATTAAACTAGACTTTATTTTTCTACTTTAACTGGTGTTTGATTTCGCAGAATATATTTTACTCCAAAACTTTAACAGTTTTCAGCAAACTGCTGAAGAGCTGTTTCTACATTACAAAAACCCCAATGTGATTAAATTTTCCTTCTATTATTTATACTGTGAGAATTTTTAAGTGCAATTCTCAAACCCGACTTATTATTTTTTTTTAATTTTCATTATAAAAATAGGAATTAGAACAGGATGGTTAAAAGTTTGAAGGAAAGTTTATTTTGATATTCTGAGATAACGTTGGAATAAGGAATTAAAAAAGAAAACTTGCTTTAGTAGTTAAGGATAATTTTCCTCTAAATTCTTAGGAAAAACATTACAAAACTATTCTCTGGATAGTTGTAGCTCATGTAGTTACGTTAATTCTCAATTTGTGTGATTTTACACTCTTGGATCAGAAAGCCTAAGCCTTTTTATTTTTCCATATTCATCCTAGATTTGTCTGATTTTTTTTCTCCATTTAGATTTTCATAGTTTAAAACATTCTACCAAGAAAGATATTTTCCTGAAGGCTTTGGAAATAAAAAATACCTGTATTTTTGATAGGGTCAATAAGATATCCTGTTCAATTTGTTAATTTGGGGAGGATTTAATGAAAGGAAAAAGAAAGAAATAGAGAAAAAATCTCTTTCACAGCTGATGATGTCTGTGTCTAATTCAGCTTTGCAAGTACAGTTAAATCACCGGTAACATTTAGCAACTGGATCTGTGAAACTCTTGTTAACACTTAACCTTTTGTTGCTTTGCCCATCCTCTTTGTTAACTGCTAGATGCTCTCAACACACAGTTCTGGAAAACCTAACCTAGAAGTAGTAGAATGAAAGCCAAATTTTAATTTTTTTTAAAGGCATGTTTTCATATCTCTCATGTGCCCTGGGCATGTGGTAACTTGCATGCTTGAATTAGGTGGTTAGTTTTCTGAGGTTTCTCGGTAAGGTATAGCTGATCAGTCTTTCTCATGTGAACAACTTTCTCTCCCTGCTTATATCTTCCTGGTTTTACCAGCATAGAGTGAGTGATTGGAAGGCAACAAAAGGAGTCAGTCACTATCTTCCACATACCATGCCTGATTAAGGTGGCATGTAATTTAAAAAAAAAAAAAATGCCTCAGTTGCTTTTGTGCTTCTGTGTGGTTCCTTCCTTTGCCGATATTTATGCTTGTTTTTTTCTTATACAAGATCTTTGGGAAAAAATAATCCTTGGATTTCTAACATCCAGGATAGGAGGGTATGTGTTTGTAGAAAAGGTCAAAATTTGAGAGTCCTCGGCTTGGCGCCTGTGGCTCAAGCGGCTAAGGCGCCAGCCACATACACCTAAGGTGGCAGGTTCGAATCCCCATCCCGGGCCTGCCAAACAACAATGATGGCTGCAACCAAAAAGGCGTTGTGGAGGGCGCCTGTAGTCCCAGCTACTTGGGAGGCTGAGGCAGGAGACTCGCTTGAGCCCAGGAGTTGGAGGTTGCTGTGAGCAGTGAAGCCATGGCACTCTACCCAGGGGGACAGCTTGAGGCTCCGTCTCAGAAAAAAAAAAAAAATTTTTGAGAGTCCTGAAGGAGTTGTTCTGGATTGGTGGATATGCAAATATTAAGGAAGGAGCAAATGTTAACTTTTGATGGGAGTAATCATAATAACATCTACATTTTCCCAATTTGGGGGAAAAAAAATCTTGAGCTTCTTTCATCTGGTTTATTATTGAATTAGCAATATATTTTATTTTACACAGGAGATTTAAAGGTATATAAAATGTGTTTTAAAAACTCATGCAAGTGGCAAGCTTATTCATTAAAGAAAAATAATCCTTTTTATTCTTAGAGACGTTTCTGATAATTCTGATCATTTTTAATGTTGGGTTCTTAATTCTATATCTTATACATTATATGCATTAACTAATTGAAATGTGTTTAAAATAAGAGAAAATAAGTAGAACATTTTTGGAATAGAATTCTCAAGTTAGATTCAAGATATATAGTTAGATCTTTACCTTTGTACCTAAACTTTTTTTTTTTGTAGAGACAGAGTCTCACTCTATTGCCCTTGGTAGAGTGCTGTGGCATCACACGGCTCACAGCAACCTCCAACTCCTGGGCTCAAGCGATTCTCTTGCCTCAGCCTCCTGAATAGCTGGGACTACAGGTGCCTGCCACAGTATCTGGCTATTTTTTTGTTATAGTTGTCATTGTGGTTTAGCTGACCCAGGCTGGGTTCGAACCCACCACCCTTGATGGCTGGCGCCGTAACCACTATGCTACAGGCACTGAGCCAATATACCTAAACTTTTAAAAAATAATTAAGAGATGTCGGCTGGGCGTCTGTGGCTCACGGGGCTAAGGTGCCGCCACATACACCTGAGCTGGCGGGTTCAAATCCAGCTGCCGTACAACAATGACGGCTGCAGCCAAAAAATAGCCGGGTGTTGTGGCGGGTGCCTATAGTCACAGCTACTTGGGAGGCTGAGGCAGGAGAATTGCTTGAGCCCAGGAGTTGGAGGTTGCTGTGAGCTGTGATGTCACAGCACTCTACCCAGGGCGACAGCTTGAGGCTCTGTCTCAAAAAAGAAAAAGAATTGTTAAGAGATGTCATAATAACATGTGAGAATTTGTTGGTGGGCTGTTAAGCTCTTGAGTTATATATAAAGGACAGTAGTTGTACTTGGTAGCTTACTAATAGCCAACCTGGTCCTTATTTGCAGGGTAGGGGTGACTGAAGCTATGGTTAGGACTCTTTTTAACATCTGAGGAAAACAATAATTTTGTATTTTCTGATAATAGAAATGTCTCAGAGCTCTTTGTTAATTTATCACTCGTTAGAGAAATAAGGGTATCTTGTGACTATTTTATGAAAGACTAAACTAAGGTAATAGGTGGAGGTGAACAAGTGGTTCAGTAGGAAGTTCATTAGTTTTAAGCTTTAGGATGGTACATTGTTCTTAGAATGTTTATTCATATGTGAAGTGATTTTAGGCAATGTGCTCAAACTGTGTTATCATTTTCTTCTTTGAATAAGGCTTACTAATACCACTCTCACTTGGATGATACAGGGGTGCATGTTTATCTCTTTACTTGCAGCATATTCTATAGTGGTGTTCTGCTTTATTATCTTTACATGATAGATAAGTGAAACAATTTGATACCTGTATACTATTAACATATACTTATAGGAATAATTAAATGGCAAAAAATACCCCTTTTTTTGTGGGACAAGGGCAGATACAAGCTATAAGTAAAGCTTAGGCATCATATCTTGAAGAATTTAAATTTAGGGGCTGGAACTAATGATAGTAACAGGCCTGATACATTTTATATATCCGGATGTCGCCAGGTAGACTTTAGAATAATTAATTTGAGTTTTTAAATGCTGATTCTTTCCTTAATTAGATTTTTCGTGAAGCTCGAAGAACAGCACCTAGTATTGTTTACATGCCTCACATTGGTGATTGGTGGGAAGCTGTTAGTGAAACTGTGAGAGCAACTTTTCTGACATTGCTACAAGATATACCATCATTTTCACCTATATTTTTATTGTCTACCTCTGAAACTATGTACAGTGAACTGCCTGAAGAGGTAAGAATTGATAAAATTTTTATCTTTCCTTATTATATTGTTGACTTTGTATATTAGACTCTTTTTAATTACTATGAAATCAGTACTGTCAGTGATCATATCCTGGGTATAGCTGCTTATTAGCCATGTAAGTTAAGTGAGTTATTTAATGTTTTAAGTTTTGGTTTCTTTTTTCGATGTAATAGTGATATCTTCCTTAGTGTTGTAAAGACTGAGACAATTCATGCTTAGAATAGAATTGGACATATATATACAGATCGAACATCCCTAATCCAAAAATCCAAAATCTGAAATGCTCCAGAATCCAAATATTTGAGTCCTGATATGAAGTCACAAGTGGGAAATTGTGCACCTGACCTCATGTGATGGATTTCAGTCAAAAAACAGTCAATACTTTGTTTCATACATAAAATTATTAAAAGCATTATATAAAATTATTTCCAGGTTATGTATATGAGGTATATACGAAACATAAATGAATTTTTTTGTGTTTAGACTTGGGTCTCATCTCCATCCCCAAGATATCTCATTAGGTATATGTAGATATTCCAAAATCTGAACACACAAATCCAAAATCCTAACCATGTCTGGTCCCAGGCATTTCAGATGTGGGATACTCAACCTGCAGTACCTTCTAAGAAGACTGTAGCTATAGTTGATTCCTTTGTAATTATTTATCCTTATCATCTATGAAACCATTTGGTGGGATTTGACCTTTCGCCTGTTAGCAATGAATGACAGGATCATGTTAAGTTGAATATTATTACTAATAAGACATTTTGCTTTTGAGTTCAAATCAAAGGTAAAAATCAGTCAATTCAGAAAAAATTGGTAAATAAAATCATGTGAATAAGATAGACTTTTTACATTTTTTTCTTTTTTCTTTCTTTCTTTCTTTCTTTTTTTTTTTTTTGAGACAGAGTCTCACTCTTTTGCTCAGGCTAGAGTGCTGTGGAATCATCATAGCTCACAGCAACCTCAAACTATTGGCCTGAAGCAAACTTCTTGCCTCATTCTCCCGACCAGCTGGGACTACAGACACCCAATGCCCAGTTAGTTTTCCTTCCTTTCTTTCTTTCTTTCTTTTTTTTTCTTTTTTGAGATAGAATGTCACTCGGTCACCCTTGGTAGAGTGCCATGTCGTCTTAGCTCCATAGCAACCTCAAACTCTTGGATTCATGTGATCCTCTTGCCTCGGCCTCCCAAGTAGCTGGGACTACAGGTGCCTGCCACAACACCTGGCTGTGTTTTAGAGACAGGGATCTTGCTGTGGCTCAGGCTGGTCTCAAACCTGTGAGCTCAGGCAGTCCACCTGCCTTGGCCTCCAAAGCATTGGGATTACGGGCATGAGCCAACACACCTAGCCTTCAGTTAGTTTTTCTATTTTTAGTAGAGATGGAGTCTGGCTCTTTCTCAGGCTGGTCTCAAACATGTGAGCTCAAGCAGTCCACCCACCTCAGCCTCCTAGAGTGCTAGGATTATAGACATGAGCCGCTGTGCCTGTCACAAAATTGGTTTTTAAAAAATTGTTCTAATATCCTGAGCTCATCGGGTCTTGAAATTGTCTGGCAGAGGAATACTTGATATATTTTGCCCAGGAGACATAGTAGGAATGATGTTCATATACAGATTTTCCTTTTTAAGTGTTGTAATATAAAACCTGATTATGTGGGGTTTTATGATTAAGGTATTTATTTGCTGAGTTCTTTTATGTTTCAGCTTTTGTTCAGTTTCGCTAAAATGGATTTGTATGATTTATTGCGTTTTAAGAAAAGTATATTAAATGTAGAATAATTCATTTTTTATTAATATCTGATAGTATGTGAAGACCATTAATCAAAATGTTTACTGTAGAGGGCAGTAAAATTTAATGGAATGCTGTGTGTAATAGGAATCAGAAAAACTAAGGTACTGACTTACTGGTCTTTTGATCGTATATAAATATTTGGACCTAGAATAGCCTGAGTTTTCTTGTCCATAAAATGTAAATAATCACAGACAGGGTTGTTGGTGTGATACAGTATATGTGAATTTATATTGGAAACCATAGAAGAATGGTTCTCAACCTGTGGGTCACGACCCCTTTGTAACAATGAAAATAAGCATTCTAATGGCAAATAAGAATAGCTAGCACTACAGGTGTATACAGCCATGTCCAGCTAATTAGGAAGGTTGAGAACCACTGCCATAGAGCTATAAAAGGTTTGATGTTATACTACTATGAAGTAGGAATGCAGGTAAGGAAGAATGAAATAAACCTAGATGTAACCTAGGAGCAACATTTACAAGTTAGAAGCCCTCTGTCAACTAGTTGGTCTTTTTGGTTTTGTTACTATTTTTTTTGTTATTTTTGAGACAGGCTCTCCCTTTGTTGCCCAGGCTAGAGTGCAGTGGCATCATCATAGCTCATTGCAGCCTCAAACTCCTGGGTTCGAGTGATTCTCCTGCTTTGGCCTTCCAAAGTGCTAAGATTTCCGGTGTGAGCTATTACATGGGCCTGTTGAGAGAAATTTCACTGTGTGCCCACCTTAACTAGCTTTATTATAATATTATAAAAAGGAGAAGAGATAAAATTTGGGAGATAATTAAGGATTCTAATTGAGAATATATAATTCTCTGAATTTTGTATTGTTGAAAAATTTGTAAATAAAAATCTTATAATCCTATCTTCTCAAAAGAGCAAATTTTATTTTGCATACTCCTGTTGCTTGTATGTTATCTATAATTTTACTCTTGGTTTAGTATATTTCAGCTAATACTATATCCTATATACTTTCAATCTTGGTATATTGTTGTCATAATTTTTTTTTGGCAGTTTTTGGCGGGGGCTGGGTTTGAACCCACTACCTCTGACATGTGGGGCTAGTGCCTTACTTCTTTGAGCCACAGGCGCCACCCCCTGTTGTCATAATTTTTAAAGGCTTAAGAAAAGCCTGCTGACTAGTAAGCCTTTTCATTATTTGTTTCTAATACCCAAATTAATATCTAAATTTACTAGCATTGAATCTTGAAATTTTAGCCCCTTTCCCGCTCATCATCTGTATAATTAGCCCTTAGTTACCCTATAACTAAAGCTATTATGGATATTCACAGTTGTGGGGTAAAGATTATGGGAATTGTCTCATACTAGTGATTACATAACATTTTCATACTGATTGTTCATGGCAAATCCTCCTCTGCCCACAAGCCTTCCATTTTAATTTCAGTTTTGCCATTAGACTGCTATTGTCAGGCAGTGCCTGTAGCTTAGTGGGTAGGGCACTGACCACACACACCCAGGCTAGCAGGTTTATACCCGGCCTAGGTCAGCTAAATAGCGGTGACAACTGTAACAAAAAAAATTAGCTGGGTGTTGTGGTGGGCACCTATAGTCCCAGCTACTTGGGAGGCTGAGGCAAGAGAATTGCTTAAGCCCAAGAGTTGGAGGTTGCTGTGAGCTGTGACGCCATGGCACTTTATTGAGGGCGACATAGACTCTGTCTCAAAAAAAAAAAAAATAAAAGAATGCTTATTTTCATGTTACAAATTGAAATGGCAATCTATTGATAAGTACTTACTGAATGAATGAATAGCAAAGACAATTGTGAACCAAATGTCTGTAGGTTAGCAGGTTGCCACATCTGTGGAAGAAACGAAATAAAAAGTGGATGGTATAAAACCAAGTGATTCTTGAAGAAAGAAATGGCCTATTTTCTATAGTATATTTAAGAATACACAATGGTTAAGTTAAAATAACAGTAAGTTACAGGATTTTAACCTTGTCAAATAGGCATATGTAAAAAAAATTGTTTTCTTGGTGTAGTGGCACACTCTTGTAGTCATGGTTACCTGGGAGTCTGAGGTTGGAGGATCCCTTGGCCTTAGGAGTTCAAGTTCAGCTGGGCAACATAGTGAGACTCTTGTCTCTCAAAAAACCAACAACAGGCTGGGTGCAGTAGCTCATGACTGTAAGTTAAGCAGTTCGGGAGACTGAGGCAGGAGAATCATTTAAGGCTAGGAGTTTGAGACCAGCCTGAGCAACATAGTAAGACCTTATATCTACAAAAAAAAAAATAGAAAAATTAGCTGGACATGGCAGTATACACCTGTATGCTAGCTACCATGTTTCCCTGAAAATAAGACCTACCCAAAAAATAAGCCCTAGCAGGATTTCTATGCATTTGTTAAATATAAGCCCTACCCCGATAATAAGATGTAGTGATGGGCGTGGCTATGCCTTTTGGCGTGGAGAGGAAGATAGCCCCTGAAAATAAGCCCTAGTGTGTCTTCTTAAGAAAAAATAAGTATAAGACAGTGTTTTATTTTGGGGGAAACACGGTATTCAGGAGGCTGAGGTAGGAGGATCCCTTGAGCCCAGGAGTTTAAGGTTGCAGTGAGCTCTGCTGATGCTGCTACCCTCTAGCCCAGGCAACAGAATGAGACCCTGTCTCAAAAAACCTAAGCTAAACCAAAACAAACATAAATAGCACCCTCCCCCCAACCAACACCCAAACAATTGAGTAAACTTGACAATCCATAGAAATATTCATAAACATATATATACACACATATTTTCCAATCAGTAATACCAGTTATAGGTAATTACCTGAATATTTTTTTATGATCAAATACAAAGATACGTGTTTGACACATAGACAACACAAAAACTACAAAGGTTTTATTGTAGGCTTTTCATAGATTGGAAACTAAATGTCCCATCATAGGGAATTGGTTAGGTTATAGTAGACTCCATGAAACACAATGAGAGCATTAAATATATTGACATAGAATATATTTAATATTATAAGAAGGTGTTTTGTCTTGTGGCTTAAAGGAGTAGGGCACCGGCCCCATATGCTGGAGGTTGTGGGTTCAAACCTATCCCTAGCCAAAACCTGCAAAAAAAGAAAAAAAAAAAAAGAAGATCATGAGAAGGTATTTAAATTTTTTGACATTTAATTTTGAAATTTTGAAATTATTTGACAAATGCAGGTTATAAATCAATAAGTATGGTGTTTTTC